ACTGCACTCCAGCCTGGGGGACAAGAATGAGACTTCATCTCAGTAAAAAAAAAAAAAAAAAAATGTACCTGTTAGCTGAGGAGAGAGGTGAGATTAGTTCCTTCCCATTAACACCTTAACTCCCCAGGTACACAGTCACATGGATTAGTGTGTGATAATCTTGGTGTTGTAACAGCACAGGCCCCAAAGAAATTGAACAAAAACAGCATTTTAAAAACCTTTAAAAACATGAACTGTAAAGATGAACACAGCATTAGAGAAAGTTGAGAGAAAGAAGTCAGCACAATGTTCTTTATTTTTTATAAACTGTATTTCTTTCAATGCTCACATTTTACTTTTATAATCTGAAAAAATATCCTAAAACATGCTTTTTAAACCAATATTCCACATCTTGTGTAACTATTACCATTATTGTGTACTTCCTTACAGTGTGTATAGAAATGTTTGTATACAGTTGGGCTCTGTTTGTGATATATTTCCTTTTGCAACTTAACATTGCCAAGGCACTTTGCCAGTTCTCATAGTTATTTAATTGGCTGCTAATAACTCAAGTTGATGAACCTTAATTTATTTAGAATCCCCTATTGTAGAATGTAATGGTCGTTCCTAACTTTTCAGTATAAATAACTCGGTGGTGTACATTTCCACACATATACTGTCCCTCCTCTCCTCCTGCCATTCTGAATGACAGGGCCGGCGGAGGTGGGGGTTGCTTTGAAGGGTCCTGGGGATGTCCTTCGTCCAAGCTCATGTCATTCCTAATTTTGCTTAATCACCCCTTCCTCCCACCCCCACACATACCCGACGTAGAAATGGCTGGGCAAAAAGCCAACATCTGGTGACCAGACCAGGAAAGGGACCAGGAGCTGGGGACCGGGTGGGAACAGGTGGAGGGGTCCTAGCGAATCCCCCCTGCCCTCCGCCCTGCGCCGCAGTTCTCGGGGCTTCCTTGCCCAGGACTGGTTTCAGGCCAGCCGGCGACTCGCAAGGCCGGGCTGCTTGGCCAGGCTGCTGACTTTTCCAAAATGCAAGGGACAGTCCGAAAAGTTCTGGGGCCCATTAGCTCAAGGAGCTGCGGGTGTGGGTTGGGTGAGGGCAGAAAATGTGCGCGCGGCCTGAGTCCAGACTTCCGATCCCCGCTCCCCCCGGGGCTGGATCCGCGACCCTGCGCTGGTCGCCCGACTCGCCGAGCCTCAGTTTCCTCACCTGTGAAATGGGGATAATTGTGAAGCTGAGGAGATAACTTGAGCAAAGCACTCTGTGCAACGCCGGGCACCGAGTAAGGGCTCCCTAAACGCTAACCAACCCGCGGCTGAGGAAAATCGAGGCTCGGGGCCATCCTGTCCAAGTGTTTTGCCGAGGCCCCCGGGCTTGGCTAGGGATCCACGCGGGGTGTGAAGGGAGTCGCTCGCAGCCCAGCAGCCAGGGGCTCCGCAAGGATCGAGGGGAGGACACTCACCTTCTTGGCCCCCGGGCGTCCGGCAGGTGCCATGGTGCGGCGGCTCTGCTGGCGCTGGGTCCCCGGGCTCGCGGCCGTCCAGGAGCCCGCCCCCCGCCCCCCGCCCCCCGCCCTGGGGAGGGTCCGGCCGCCGCCCTGCCGGCCCAGCCGCCTCAGGCTGCCCGCTGGCCTCGGAGCAGGCGCCCGCGCCCTCGGCCTCGGCCTAGTCATGCTCCTCCCGGGCGCGCAGCGGCTGCGGGGCATCCTGCTGCGGAGCTGCGGGCGGCTGGGCTCCCCCGGGCGCCCGCGCTCGATCTGCGGCCGGGAAGGGTGAGTGGGGCCCCCGCCTGGGCAGAGGCGGCGGGGCGGCTGCGGGGTGGGAGCCAGAGGCTGAGGCAGGCTCTGGGGTTAGGAGCGCTCCAGCCTCCAAGAAATGGGCCTTCAGATACCCTCTCGAATTGTCAATTAATTATAAAGTGAAACAATATCCAAAGGTTCCCCGTTTAAAGTCTCTCCTGCCCCAATCCCTTCGCCCGGTCAATTGTTAATAGTGTCTTCTGAATCTAACGGTCTGAGCATAGACAAACACAGGTCAGTATAGGTTCTTCTTTGGCTTATTGACATCTTGCTTTTCACAATTATCAATGTACCTTGGAGATTGTTCCATATCAGCACATACTGACTTGCCTTGTTCCTTTTGGTGGCTGCGTAGTTTTCCATCCCGTCAATATTCTGCACTATAGCTCAATAGTCTATTCGTTAACATTTAAATGGTTTTTGGTTGTTTATTACTGCAAATAACCTGCATATGCATCTGTCTTTGAGTACCTATCAGAGTCTATCTGTAGCACCAGTTTTTAAAGGCGAACTTGTTAGGGAAAGGGTTATGTGCATCTGAAAGATTGAAAGACAGCAACCTATTCTCCAAATATGTGGCAAGAGTTTGCATGCACCACACCAGTGTGTGTCCGTTCCCCACATCCTCCCTGGTGCCCAGAATAGGCCTTTTTTTTTTTTAATCTTTGCTAAATCTGATAGTTAAAAATGGCATGTCCTTGTTTTGATTGGTCTGTATTTAAATAGCATTGCTGAGCATCTTTCAACTTCTTATGTTTGTAGATTATTCCAAGCTGCCAGGAAAGGCTTGTTTAGCAGCAACGCTTAACGTGATTATGGGTTGATTCGAATTTTATTTTATGTCTTATGATCTGAAATTCTGGAATCAGAAGATCTACTTTTGAGTTCCATCTATCCAGTCAACAAATATTTACTGTGTGTTGTGATGTACTAGGCTTCTCTCTAGTGCTAGGAATACAATAGACACCAAGTCACAGTTCCTGCGCCATGCGTTACACAGAATGTGATCTTACAGTTCTGAGTTTGTTTCCTCGTCTATGAAATGAGGGTACTGATTTTGCTCTATATAACTCAGAGGATTGCTGTGAATATTAAATAAGAGAATATGAAAGTGCTTTGTAAATTGTAAAGTGTCACAAAAATATCTGTAAAAATGAGAATGTTTTTTAATCCAGTGCAAAATAAAATGGAAATTTAACAAATAAGTTGCTCTGTTTAAAACTGATTAGACAAATAAAATACAAATTTCAAGAGTACCCAAAAAATTATATTTTGGCTGGGTGTGTTGGCTTATGCTTGTAATCCCAGCACTTCAGGAGGCTGAGTTGGGCAAATTACTTGAGGCCCAGAGTTTGAGACCAACCTGATCAACATGGTGAAACTGTCTCCACTAAAAATGCAAAAATTACCCTGGCATTGTGGTGTGCACCTGTAGTCCCAGCTGCTTGGGAGGCTGAGGTGGGAGAATCGCTTGAACCTAGGAGGCAAAGGCTGCAGTATGAGCCAAGACTGCACCACTGCACTCCAGCCTGGGCGACAGAGACTCCATCTCACAAACACAAACAAACATACCCGAAATTTGAATTATTTTATTTCAATTGCATATTCTTTATATACTCAATTTCAAACTATCAAAAAAATGTTTTATTTTGGAAAGCACTTGAACAAGCACACAGTCAAGTTGTGCTTGTCATTTCTAATACAGAAGATAGCTGACCTGGGTTTTTTGCATGGATCCTAACTTTTATTTCAAATACTTTTATGACCATCCTCAACTACATTCAGACGGATTTTAAGATAGTAATTCACGTAATCAAAAACACTGTACCTAATCTGAAACCTGTTATGGCATGCTGGGCAGAGGAAATACTATATATTTTATAATGCTTTATCATCTGTTGCCAAACAGAATGTTCCCAGCTCCACTTTGCAAATGAGAAAACTTTGAGAGCCCTGTGTAAATTTCTCTAAAATAGCTATTTAATTGGACTGGGGACTCAAACCCAGGTTTTTTGATCTTAAGTTCTTTTTTGTTTTTGTTCTTTCACCTGACCACTATCCTAAAAGAAATAATTATTTCTTTTGAACACACACAAAAAGAACCTTTAAGATTATTTTTTTTGTCACCACTATAATGGTTTCAACTAAAATATAAGACACGCCCAGTCTATTTAAAAATAGATTTCTGTCCAAAGTAGTTGAGTCATATGTACAATATTTTTTTCGTACACAGCACACAAACAAACATTAACAGTCATTTAAAGACTGGTTAAACAAAAGTACTGAAACATGTGGCACCAGAAAATAAGGACATGCTCTAATAATCATATAGCCACAAAAGCATGCAGGAGTCAACTTAAAGAACCTCCTGCCAGCGAAATCTAGGACAATTTGGCATTAAAATAAATGATGACTAGTAATGGATTGTTTCTACTGAAAACAATAAATACCCATAAATTAATATTGATATAAACAACAAACAAACAAGAATGAAAGAAAAGTACTTCCTTATTGTAGAATGCCAACTATTAAATATAATAGGAATGATGGGGTTAGGAAATATCAATAGATGTTAAAGCCACTCAGTAGAAGTTTGATGAGGACCAGTATATTTACATGGTCTCAGAGTAAGACTTCACATTATTACTTATACAAAGGAAACAATGGTAGCTTTACTGGATAAATCCAACAGACACCACTTTAAGCAAGTCATCAGATAGAAACAACACCAATATTGGGGCAAACCAACATCATATGCTTCCTCATCATATGCTGACAAGGAGTCAGCATCACTTTCATGTTTTTGCCAGAAATGCATAACACAAGTCTCATCATGAGGAAACAACAGACAAATTCACAATAAGAAGTGTTCTGGATGGGCATGGTGGCTCATCCCTGTAATCCCAGCACTTTGGGGGGCCGAGGTGGGTGGATCATAAGGTCAGGAGTTCAAGGCCAGCCTGGCCAATGTAGGGAAACCCCGTCTCTACTAAAAATACAAAAATTAGCTGAGCATGGTGGTACACACCTATAGTCTCAGCTACTCAGGAGACTGAGGCAGAAGAAGCTTGAACCTGGGAGGCAGAGGTTGCAGTGAGCTGAGACCGCACCACTGCACTCCAGCCTGGGTAACACAGTGAGACTCCATCTCAAACAAACAAACAAAAGAAGTGTTGTATAAAATAACTGGCTAGTACTCTTAGAAAATGTCAAGGTCATAAAACACAAAGGAAGTATTAGGAATTATTCTAAATTAAAGGGGATTAAAGAGACAGAATCCTAGATTTATAAAAAAGTAGCTATAAATACATTATTGGGATCATTTATTAAATCTAAATATGGACTACAGATTAGATGATAGTATATCAATGTTAAGTTCCTTGACTTTGAGAACTGTACTGTCGTTATGTAAGAAAATGTCCTTTTTCTTATAAAACTAGCACAAGAATATTTAGAAGTAACTGGGTATGATACCTGCAATTTACTCTAAAACTCGTACACACATATAATATACATATTATAATATATGTATAGTTATATGCCTCATAATGATGTTTCAGTCAATGATGGACCACATGTACAATGGTTGTCCCATAATATTATAATGAAACTGAAAACTTCCTATCACCTAGTGATATCATAACTGTCATAATGTCATATGCAACACATTGCTCATGTGTTTGTAGTGATGCTGGTTAAACAAACCTACTGTGCTGCCAGTCACATAAAGGTATAGCACATGTGATTATGTACAGTACATAATGCTTGACGATTATAATAAATGACCGTGCTACTGGTTTATGTATTTACTACACTGTACTTTTTTTTTTTTTTTTTGAGACAGAGTTTCGCTCTTGTTACCCAGGCTGGAGTGCAATGGCGCTATCTCGGCTCACTGCAACCTCCGCCTCCTGGGTTCAG